TTACGTGTCGATGCTATTAGGGACGGTTGTGAGGATATGGATTTGTTGATCAAGGTTGAAATTTGCTGGTTCATTTTCTTGTTTGATTTTTCGGTGTGGCCATGCACATGCTGTTTTTTTATAGGATTTTGCTGCTCGTGGTGTTCGTTCAGTTTTGGAGAGGTTGAGTGACGTGAGCGATATGTGTAAAGATGCCCTAGAGGATGCGAACTGCGCTCCTGCGTCGTTGCGTGTGCTAGAGCGTGACCTTAGCTGCGTCCTAAACGTTGCGGCGAGGTTTCTCTCTGGTTGTTCTGCGGATCTGTTGGTGGAGAAGCTGCGGTTGATCTACGACCGCTCAACTGTGATACATGAAAATTTGCACGCAAAATGTTTGAGATATGAGGAGTTTGCACGTAAGCGAGATGAAGTTGCTGCTCAGCTGCGTAGTTTGCGAAATAAGTTGGAGAAGATTGAGAGGATGCCTTTGAGATCTGTTGTAGAAGTCTCAGAGGACGCAGAGGTTCTAAAGGTCTGTGTTTTTGTTTTTATGTGTTGACTTGATAACTTTTTGTTTTTTTTTATAACTTTTTCAGTATGCTTTGTTTTGTTTACAGCTACTTTTACAACTGATTATTGTGCCTTCCGATTTCCACTTCTTTTTTCGTGTTTTTTTTGCATCTTCAAAATTTCTTTTACGTTTCAAGTTTTTCGTCTCTACATTTTTTATTGTTTTATTTAAGGATCTTTTGGATTCATGCGATGACTTCAAGAGAGCTTTGGACGAGATTACAAACTTGGTCCGTGCACTTGATTATCTTGCATTAGCTGTCCATGAATCAGACTTCTTATCTGTAGATATTCATACAACTCGGAATCAAATTCAGGTGCTTTTTGTGCAGAATGCGTCATTTCTTGGTGCGCTATTGCGGTTAGGAGTTTCCATCCCTAAACATGCTTTTTTTGATCGTCTATTTGTTTTCGTTATTTGTATAAAAGATGTTCAACACCGCCTGTTTCATCTGTAATAGTTTCAGACTTGTCTGTCGAGTTCTCGCTAGCTTTCCAAGATTTCAATTCTAAAGTATCTTTTTAATTCTTTTGCCATCTCCTAAAGCTACTTTTTTGCGAGCTGGTGACATAGTAGATGACTCGAACACTTCGTAATCCAAATGCTAAGAATTTGAAAGGTTCAACTCCACTCCATGCATTTCAGCTTTATTTCTCATGATCATTTTCTGGTCTGCTTAAAAGTACCTATTTAGTCACAATGTTTTATTTGTTCACATAGTACGAGACAAATGGCACTAAATAAGTTTATTTCTTAAAAGAGTCTGGTTTTATCGTGTTATAAACGTTTCTGACTGCTTTTCTAGTTTGGAAAGGTAGAACATGCGAGAGAGGTTAGTGCGGATCATAAAATATGCAGTACAGCTGAAAAGTAATAATGGGGAGCAGGAAATAGTTAAAACAAAGATAAATTACAAAGTATAGCTATTGTGATCCCGTAGCTGAGGCTTTTGTTTTTCTCATACTTTATCGCAGTTACCTTTCCCCTCTCGTTTATTGATAGCTTTTTTTCTCAAGGCTACCTTTTTAAATTAAAAATCAACTAGAGACATTTGTAAAGCGGTAAAGGTGGACTTCTGTAGAAAATAAACTTAGTGCCATTTGTCTAATTCTATGCACACAGCTAAAACATTCTGAATAAACAATTTATTTTCAAGCGGACCATTAAATGGCTAAGAAATTTGGGAAGTATAAGTACAGAAACTGCATGGCAGGGATTGAACATTCCAGATTTTTAGAGGCGCTGTCACGAAATGCTTTTGCTGTCTGTTACATCATCTACTGACATTTGGGACGGCATGGTGAAACGGCAGGAGGATAGAGCGATATTTTATCATAAGGCTGTTAGGTAGTTAGCAAAAGCTGCACAGACAAGTCTGTAACTAACATATACGAATTGAGCAGTGTCGAGGACCTTCATGCAAAAAATAAGGTCAGGTTGACGATCAAAAAAAACAGGTTTGGAGGTGGGCACACTTAACTTTAATAGTGGCTATTTTGGTTTGCTTTGTCACGGTTTGCCCAGAACTGTTGATTTCCGATTACTTTGGTATTGGATGAAAGAAGCATTTTTTGTAGAATTTGTTGGAGTCTATAAAGGTGGAGTGTCAAACTCGCGAGAGAATTCTTGACAGGATTGCGATAGTTAAGAGTGACTTGAATAAAATTGATACGGTCCGAAAAAGTCCTGCTGATGGCAAGGTATTTTAGTTTAACTTCTGTTTCAAAACCGTATATATTTTTTGAACGCCGTCGTCAATGAGAATTTTCTAGATGGAATTTGTGTTGCACTTTAAACAACTTGAGCAGCGACAAAGCCGCACTCATCTTATGGCGAAACATAGTTGGTAACTTGAAAGTAGTAGTTGATTTGGAAGATGGGAGTTTTTTATTTTTCAATAGCTGTAAGCAAACTGTGGGAGAACAGATCCGGCCAGCTATTTTTTCTGGCTAATTAGCTTAATTTTAGTGAACTGCAAAAATGTTTTAGTGAAATTTGTAAGTGGTATCAGAAAGTCCTTAATTCAAGCCATTTGTTTCAAGTCATTTGCTTTCTTTTCTGAACCTCTTGGCTACGGTTGATAAATGCCAGTAAAACTTGTCCACTGTTTCTCCTTTGTTTGCCGTGGCAAATGCGTGAAAAAGTGCCTCGTTGACTGGTTGCTACTTTTAGCTCTGTTTGTGTACTGGTTGCCGACAAAATTATGGGTACTACATCCAAATTACAGTCAACTTTTGTTTGTTTTGAAGAAAATATTTCTCTAAATTTTATAATATTTATCTGTCAAGATTTTGCTATACTCTTTCAAGCAGTTTGCAGCTCAAATGTGGATGTTCCTTTTTATATAATTTTTTATGAGCTGCCCTTTTGTTGCTCATTATGCCACATTTGTAACCCTTTTGAAAAGTAAAAACTGCAATTTTTACAGCAGCAGATAAAAGAAGAACTTGCCGATCTTCGTCGTCGTCTTCTGCGCCTTAGAGAAGAAATTACTGTGTACAATGAAAACAGAAACTACTTAATAAAGGAAGATGAGATCTCTGTCGACGACGAAGAAAGACGTTTAGAGGATTATGAGAGACGTTTAGCGTCTGCAGGTTCATATGAGGACCAAAGTCAGTACGATATCGATGCTGCCGCAGAGGTTCTGGCAGCAGTTTATCCTGATCGTGACCCTAGAGCGGTCATGAAAAAGAAAGGACTTCTCTTTCATGATTCTGATAGTAGTGAAAGTAGTAGCAACGAATGTAATAATGATCTCAGTGAAGAACCTGAGGGAGATGGCACGTCGGAGGATACCTCTGGTTCGGCTCATGAAGGTCGAGAAGCTGCGCAAATGCAGTATGAGCAACGTCGCTCTCGTTGGAGGCGCGTCTTGCGCACAGCATTGCCGCTGCAGGTAGGACGTTGAGGAATATTAAAAATTCAATGTTTTTTTGTTTTTTGGAAAATTAAATTTGATGGCCACTTGACGCTAAAAATACGCGACGTCCTGTCAGAATTACGAGGTCAGAAGTGAATAGATGAGAAGGAAATTCTGGATTTTACAAAAAAAAAAAACAAATAATAAGAAATTGCAATCGTTTGGAGCTTGCTTTACAGTTTTTAACATTACTTGTAGTTATTGAAAAAGGTTAAGCACGATGATACAGTTCTCACAGATTTGTACCTTTAGCTAATGGAACCTTTTCTGTTGCGTTTATTCTCTGCTTTGTTTAGTTTAAGTGTACCGCTAGTTTTTCCCTGCTATTAAAGTTTATTGTTTAGGCGATGCTTGTACTTCTTCTGGGGGCAGCTTGTCTGGTGCCTCACTGTGACGATGAGTATTGCTGCCAACTGCTCAACAATTTTGCACGAAGCTTTGATCCTTCTCTTGAGTTCATTAATGGTCCGCCACCAATTTAAGAAATCTCATTGGTTTTTTGCTTCTTGTTTTGTAAATACTCGTTGAAAAGATTTTTAAAAAAATATATCTTTATTATATTTCTCGGTGTTTCAACATATTATCGCAAGAAAGATACAAAAAGCAGAAGATGTTTCGTCATAAGCAGTTCAGGAAACATGGTAAAATTAACGACAAAATATGCTAAGAAAAATTTCAATACTGACTAACTAATGTACCGGAGCCTATTCGTTGCGTTTACCACGCGTTATTTCAAGTTCTTCAATAAATTTGCTTATTTTCGAGTCTAAGGGTGCTGCAGTGGGGCGCATTTGAAGTAATTCTTCCCGACTGTATCGCGTTATTTTTGCAGAGTCCAGCTGTGCAAGATTTGGTGAGCTGCCTGTTTTACCCGTTGAACGCCATTCCCTTGAATAACCAACCAATTTGCAAAAAAAAAGTCAGCTGGAAGCAGTGTTTACAAGAAAGAAAAAAACTTGACAAATTTGCTTTGATCCCATTTGTGCAAGAAATAAAACAATTGAACAAAAGTACTTGTGTGGGGCATTATTTGAAGTTGTTGCCGACAATGGCATAGATTTTCTTCTTTCTTTTCTCAGTTCCCGTTCCGCTGCGGAAAGCTTGGTTCTGGTGCGTCCAGCTTGGTTGAAGTACTCACTCAAAGCAGCCTGGGCAGCCTAAACTTTAATTGTTCATTTTACACACATTTATTCTGCGGCGAATATAGTTTCCAACGGTCTAGCTTTAATGAGTTTGAAACCGCTGAAACTGAAAAAAAAAGATTACTTTTGGTCAAAAAGCTCCTGATACTGTTGCTTTTTCTCAAAGAAAGTAAAGCACAAAAAATTCATCAGTTAACTGTAAATCTTTAAACTGCTGTTGTTTTTCTGTCAGGTAGGTCTAGTATTTCGGGTTGCCATTTTTTTCTGTGAATTTTAAATTTTCAAATTCGCCTGGTACAAGTGAAGGACTTGGTAATAAAAGAAAAAAACGTTGCTTTATTTCGAGGTAGCAGTGCGATGACAAAAGAGGAATTTCTTAGTTAACTTTTACCTATCTGCAACAATAAAATTTTGTTGCTTTTTAATACTGTACTAAGTTACTGCTGCAGTACGGCTAGGAATCCCATCTCGCTGTTTTTGTCACATTGGT